ACACTTTGCCGCGTCGATAGGCATCAACCACTCTTCAGACTAGTTATTCACCTTATTCAAGTCTGCCTGAAGTGCACATGAGTCTGAGTCTCCAGACTTTTACATCATCAGCGTATAATAACCTTGGGGGCAGTATTAATCTTGGGAGTTCATTTACATACAGTAGAAAAAGTAAAGGATCTAGAACGGAACTTTGAGGTACTTCACTAAATACTGGTTTCCAGATGAAACACTTGAAATTCCTTCCTACTTTCTGACTGCAACCTACTAGGAAATCCTAAAGCCATTTTAGGTGACGCGCAGCAATACCGAGATTTTCTAACTTCAGTAGCAGTCTATTGGCTGGCACCTTGTCAAAAGCCTTACTGAAATCTATTTGGACAACATCCACTGATTTTCCATTGTCTAGAGCCTTTATCCATTGCTCCCTTGCTATAAGAAGATTTGTTGCGCAAGGTAAACCTTTTCTAAAACCAGGTTGTTCGCTGTTTAACAAGTTATTGGTTTCCATAAGTGTCATTATGGCTATTCTTTCCAATATTTTAACTGTTAAGGCCTACAGGTCTGTAGTTCGATGGAAGTTACCATAGTCCTGTTTTATGTATGGGAGTGACGATTACGTCCTTCCAGTCCATAGGTAACACAACTTGGTCAAGTGACATTTTGAATATCACAGTCAGTGGGGCCGCGATATATTTTGCAATATGTATCAAGATTTTAGGCTGCAGAGCCTTAAGTGTATCGTCTTGATCGAAGTCCACGGTGAGCAGGTGGTTTGTTGATTTTGTATTTTGGTCTGGTTCTTTGTCTAGAGGAGGTTCCTGAGTGAAAACTGCCCCAAAACAGTCAGCCATCACCTCTGCTCCTTCCTGATCTTCCTCTATTATTCCAGATTCACTCCCTTCTTTAATTAGGTTGGGAATTCAATAATGCATCTTTATTCTGTAGTTTATGTACGAGAATATTTTCTTAGGCTGTTTGAGTGCAGATTGTATCAACTGCGTTTCATATTTTCTTTGAGCTTCCCCAACTTCAATTATACACGTGTTTCTTACCGATCTGTAGCGTTTCTTTGTACCCGCTGTGCCAAGGTTGATAGCAATATCCAAACATTACTTCTTTTGTCTTAGCAAACGTCGAATATCCCGGCCTATCCAGGGATGTCCGTGCTTCTTCTTCGTCTCTGGGCCTCTCCAGGGTATGTATGGTTGAGTTACCCGGTTGTATAACTGCCTGAAATCAGCCGATGCTGCGGAGTCGATTGCCTCTCTATCTGCATTCCATACGTTAGAACGGGCGGGCGCAACTCTTTGACAGGCAATCTCAGCTATGAATTTGAATGATCTGACCGCATGTTCACTTCTCCCTAGTTGTGGGAGGAAAGTCATTTGATCAACGTCGTCACCGTGTGTGAAGACTAAATCTGAAGGAGAAGAACAGTTTCTTAAGTCATATCTTGTGAGATTTCTAATGTGTTGAGATAAAGCTAATCCAATAGAGGTTTCTAACAGTTTGCAATCGAATGACGTTGTCGATGACCCTATTTCTAAGTTAACCCAGTTTATATACGGTGCATTAAAGTCGCCGACTACAAGGCTTTTACCCTTGTTACAACAGGACTTAAGTTTACTCAGGAGGAAATCATCTGCTACACATTATGGACTGCGATATACTACAACTAATTCAATATCCTGCCGTCTGCACTCCAGCTTGCATCGCACCAGTTCACATGTGCCTGAAACACGCGCCACTGTTTCAACTACTATTGTAGTCAGGGTACATTTCGTGTACAGGATAACCCTACCTCTCCTACGGCTCATCTCTCAGCCCTACTGGATAGAAAACCAGTCAGCTTAATTTCATTATCTAATACTCCTGACGGTAACCAAGTTTCTGAGACATGAATAACATTTTGGGAATTTATTTACCGCTACAACGTTGACTGTCGTCTTGAAGGATCTACAGAAAGATATTCTTGTGTGCAAGGATGGTTGTGCACGGTTTTATTAAAGATGACTTTTAAGTCACCATTTAATGCACAAACCCAAAGTCCAGATTGACAATGGCAATATTTCGACCTGAAGGACAAGTTTATTCGGAATAAGACATACATAGATGACTGACGTCGTCTTCTTAGTCTAGGTTGTGGTGTTGAGTTAGAAGTTGTATGCTCTTCGCAATAATGATGATCACTATCGAGCGGGAAGTTTAGTCCTAACGTGATTTGCAGTTATCAAACTTTTGCTGTCTTCTTACGCAACAAAAGTACCATTTCAGTTCTAAAGAATCTATCCTGAGCTATACGTTCGGTAGATTACTTTTTTTAGTTTCACCATATTTAACAGTTACCTGTGGTTTTGCCTCAGCTTGCTATTCGGTTTTTTTGTTTTTCACGTATAGACTAGTTTCAGTTTATATCACTCGTTTTATCCATTCTTGTCCGTTTTCAGTGTGCTTTTTAGTGTTTTTTAAAGGTCTTAGGCTTTTGCAAGCATCTATAATATAGTTTGCTTCAACATAGTCATGAAAAACTCATGCAAACGTCCGGGATGCCCCTTTGCTGCAGTGCGACAACTGCAAAGGTTGGTTCCACGAAGCATGCACAGATCTGACAGCAACTGCTTACAACCGACTCAGCAAGTCAGACCAAAAGTGGGTATGTGTCACGTGCAGCACGGACGCTGTAGTCTTGCTGAGTAACATCATTGTCCTACTGACAGGCCTTCGGAACAAGTTGTCAGTTAACTTGGATAACGATAGTAAAAAAACCGGTAGACAAACAAGAGTGTGCGACGGATACAAAAATAGGGATGTCGACAGGTATACCATCGATGGAGCATCCATCAACACTAATGATGACGTGTCGAGGCTCAGCACCGTCGTTGCGTCGACGGTATTAGACTCCCTAAGCAAACTCGGGTCTCCCAGCTCAGGGTCCCTGAACACAACAGCGGTTCCCCAAAACCCTGTAGGTGATTCGACCCACTTTAAGACAGCCCAAAAGAACCAGGCATCACCTCTCAAGCCGAGCAACCCAAGTGTTGTTGTATGGAAACTAACTGGTGATTTGGTCGCACAGTCTACCCCCAAGACTGTTCGTCCGGTCAATAAAGAGCCCAAGACTCAAAAACGCACACTGACCTCCAAACAACAAGTTATTAAACCTGAACCCATCGTGAAACCTGGTAAATTAACAACAGTTCGTGACGATTCTCTCATTATCATGAACCTTGTTGACAATCCTGACCTTCCTCTCAGTCTGCAGGACAAAAATGACAGGATGCTCTGGGCTGAATTGAACAAGAAGCTCGAACTTCCTAGAATAGAGCCTTTGACGGTCACCCGGCTCACTCGAGGAAGAGGTTCTAAGCATCTAAATCACCCGAGGCTTCTCCGAGTAACACTTAGGAATGCTACCGACGTGGAGGACGTCTTGCTAGCAAGTCACTTGCTGAAATCCGATGGTAACGTAAGAATATTGCCCGACATACCGTATTCTGAGCGCAATCTCATCCGGAACATCCCCAAAGAATCTCGCGATCAGTTTTTCCGCGGGGGGAATATAATCGTGCAAGGTATACCGGAAAATACGGACCCTACTCAATCAAAGACTGACATCAGGGAATAGAAATTCATCAAACAGTCCTTGAGGCTCAAACACATACCGACTCAGCATGTGACGAGACTAGCCAAGAAGGACGGTGATCCTAGACCCTGGCTAATGAAGATGGCTTTCCCATCCTCCCACATGGCGGTTGCAACTCTGGAAGCATTTCGTGCCAACAGACGTCGACTGCCACCTGGAATCCATATGCATTCGGATAGGCCATACGAAGCTAGGACCAGACACAAAGGCAAGTTGGAGCTGGCCATTCCACGTGTGGACTGTCTAGACGATAAAAAAACGTGTAAAGGACAGGGCCTACCACCTCGGCAAACCTCATATAGGTGGACTACTTGTCCATTCACGTAAGGCTCGTACAGAAAAATAGGACGAAGCTCACGCGTTCCAAATTGAAAGCATAAACTACTTATATATGAACGCCGCGAGTCTACCAAACAAACTGGATGAATTACGTGAACTTAGCAACGCTAATAAGGCCCAACATACCTAGGTTCCTGCCTGGAGGATTTGGTGATCCCCTGCTACTAGACACGGAAGCCTGTTAAGCGAAAGCTTCTTCTATTCCGTCCACAACCATTTGAACCATTTGAATATCATCATCTACATCTTGAAGACAAACATCGGATTCTGACGAACTGTGTTTACGTCCATATGTACATCCATATCTGACGAAAAAATACTTTGGAGTTGGGTCATCATTTTTCTTTTTACTTACAGAAATAACGTACTCAGTATGCGTATACTGCAAAAATAATTATCAACCACATAAGTCATATTACCTTATGTACACAATCTCCCAAGTTTGTCGAAATCCCCAAGGGTTAGGGGAAATTCGGAGGTTTTAGTGCCATTTTCCTATCAAATGGGTAAAAGTTTCCCCAGAATTGTGAGATTCCTTATTACTGAGAACTAGACCTTTACTAGACCTTTACCCACTAGAATATAGGCGTCTTAGAGGTGATTTATTAATGGCTTATAGTATTCTTGACAATTCTGGACATCCTCTTAAACACCTACTTAAGCTTAGTTCGAACAATAACCTAAGGGGTAACACCCAGAAACTGGAAACACAACATAGCAAGACGGAATGTAGACACAACTTCTACTCCTTAAGAGTTGTCAAAAGCTGGAACTCGCTGCCGGCCGAGCTAGTCCAAGCGACTTCTCAGGAGTCCTTCAAGAGGCAACTTGACCTATTCTTAAGGACCAAGGACAGCATCGCACTATGATTTACCAATTTCTTTTCCTCTTTTATTGTTAACATACCTAGGTTCCTGCCTGGAGGATTTGGTGATCCCCTGCTACTAGACACGGAAGCCTGTTAAGCGAAAGCTTCTTCTATTCCGTCCACAACCATTTGAACCATTTTGAACCATTTGAAGGTCGTCGAGATGACATAATGTCGTTGAAGATTCGTCCTATATCACGCACCATCACGATGGCACCATCTTCGTTACTTGAAGGATGGACGTTATCACACATCATGTGCCTGAACTCCATCCAAATCTAAAAATGTCTTGATTTGACCGCTTCTTCACGAATTATCGAGCCGACGCACCAATCACTTTACGATGGTTTGACCTTCAAGGGCTCAGCAACCTCCATCAGTGGACGATACCGTTGAGGCGTTGCTGCATTTGCGGCACCCTATTCGAAAACACCTGAACGGAATCAAGTAATCAAAGCATAATTAGACGGCCGCCTACCTTACTTGTAAAAAATTACCTGTTTTTATGCGAAACTCAAAAGCAGTGTATGCATAGGTTATTTTTTTTATATCCACATATTTACCTTAAGCGTAAGGTAAATATTAGATACTAGTATCCAATTGATGTGTTTGATTTTCTGCAGAAAAATGTATTTGACAATATGCAAAGCATCATAGCTAGTAAATTTACGAGCCGATCTATAAATATAGTAAAGGGAATGAAAGTTTATCCAGGTTATCTGTGATCTGTTTTGCAGCTGGCCAGCTACATAATCCGGATTATGTTTTTCAAGCCCGATATCTGGGTTTTCGAGAAATTGCGAAACTTCAGATGAGTTTCGCGATTTACCACAAGTTCACATCAAAATTCGTAGTCTCTTCCGAAGTTTGGGGGAGTTTCGGTAAGGACCAAAACTCTTGAGTATTTCCCTTAAACAGCTTGAAATTCTGTGGAAAAATCTCAGACCAGGGAAAGTCTTGAGGTTTTCGTCTCATTCCTCTAAGTTTTCTAGTTCGGGTTTCCAAAAAGCTGACAAAATTTCCCTCGAAGTTGGGAGATTGGGAATCTTTTTCTAAATAGAAACCCCTCAAGGGTTCAACATCTTGTCTGTGATACCTAAGTTCTTAGTGTTAACGTTTTGTATCTAGTGTCCAAGATGTCATATACTTGACTAAGGAATCAGATCATACTTTTCGTAATCATCGAAGTAGTAAATTTCCTTCTCAGTGTTTCTAGATTCATAAACACTTTTCTTCATTTTAAAATCAAGAACATTCTGATCTTCGATTTGCCAATCCTTTTGAGCGTTTATTTTCTACAGGGCCAACCACGTGATTCTTGTAAGTTGGCATTTTATCAGACCAGCATTTACGTGTCTATGAGCCTATATTTAAAGTGTTTCACTTATTCCAAGCTTCTACTTCATTTTACAATGTGGTATCTTTGCGATCACATTTTCGAACTTCATCTCATGGCCTTTGCTAGGGACCTAGCACAATCATACTCCTCAGTCGGAAGTAGACGGTAATATTTAAAAACCGAAATCTTGGCTGCTCTAGGACTTCGATATTGGAAATTTGATCTGTCTCTGTAATGTGTTAGTGGAAATAAACCAACTTAACCGTTTTACTTTACCAAAAACATGTGCATCTTTACCATATTCACCGGTTTCGGTTCCTGAAAAATCAACTAAGTATTTTTTTATAACAAGTACAGTAGAACAGGATACTACGAACTTTGAATGTTGCTGTTGAAGATTATGGATTCTGAACATATCGCTTATCGGAGCACTTTTTTCGGAAACAATATAATTTCACCTTAGCAACCCCCTGTATATTGACATACATAAAAAGCTATTTTTCGAAGTGCTGAATACCTCTCAGAGAAGTAATTCAGAGTAAATACTTCATCCTTTACTTATGACTTCCATTCACGAGAGTGTTTCATACTTGTCTACATCTTTGTACATTTGAACATGAAGTGCTACTACCAGAAATTCATTTCACAAAATCAAGGTAAATAATGTTAATATTTAAGTTTACTTGTCACATTTATAAGCCTTCGTACATTATAAAGAGTTGACTGTTGAATCTTCTGAATGAACACTAGTTATTTGATATGTCACTCTATTGAACAAACGTATTTGGTATTCATAATTCAGCAACCATTATTCTTTATACATACAAGCATTGAAGGATATCTCTGTTTCTTTCGTGTTTCCATTAGGAACCACGTCTTATTAACGTTACTTATTTACTTAAGGGAAAAAGTGCAAGTTTGCAAAAGAACCTTAATGCTAAAGTCGCTACACTGTAAAAAAAAATTAGCCAGGAGATAAACAAAGAATTGGAAGTAAGAATTTTGTTGGTAATGAAAAACAAAATTTGTAACTCAGAGAAAGATATGTAACTGGCATATGCTCTTCATTGCGATCATGATGATCCTATGTACCACAACAGATAATCTACATCTGTTGAAATAATTTGGTTTAATAATGCGATATCATCGAATGGCGTTTTATTGGTCTATATCAACCACCCAGTAGATAAATGTCTACAGTTTCGTCAGTCATTTCATCACCTTTAACTATCTTTCTGCACCCAGCCTCTGCATTACTCACCTGGTTCCACCATAAGCGACTACTGTTCCAACAGTTACTGTGGTCAGATCTTAAAACTTTATGCTTGTTAAAGCAAAATATATTGACCAAGTGGACCAATGTACTGCTTTCTAATAACCGGGTAACAACTTTAGACAAATATCACTAGATATCTGACCAAATTATCCATAACTCTTATGGGTAGATATAATAATCAGTATTATTTGAAGATGGTATATATCGTACACTAGCGTCAGCTGGAAAACCAGTGGATATAAAATAGCTTCGGGTATGTACCATCCTAAAGCGGAGCTTCTTAGCAATAATAGTATACGACCCTACATGGGATTAGTCTCTTCTGATTATAGGTGAAGTTTTAGATAAAAAGGGGATATAGTTATTAGTAAGCTTTCTATAAATTTCCATGTTACAGCTTGTGGGTTAATTGTGAGAAATATTTGTAAAGTGTTTCGACATATTTTTTTATTATTTTAGCAAGTAGTTGAAATGACTGTTGTTAATCACTATGAATTTCCTAATAATAAACATTGTTAAAATTTATTCCTGGTTTGCCTGATATGATGATTTCCAATACAGATTGTGGTCTATGATTATTGCATTAAAAAACACGTGTTTCAGTATCAAGTATAAACTAATTTTTCACTTTCAGCGATAATATATTGTACTCTAATGCTTGGTAAAATCGGTTACGATGCGTCCTGGTTATCTTCAATACCGTGGAAGGCTATCCACTATGCTCTGTTATTTTTGATGATTGAAATAGTGACTTTTGCGTATGGAGTTATGGTGTTTATTCTCCTATACCAAACCTACATTCCAACCGTAAAATTGGAAAGAGAATTAGATTTAGTGTTTGAGTATGCTAACCTTCTCTTTGTCTGTTTACTTCAATTTTAGTACAAAATGTAATGTACGAACGGGGTGTCCCAACGTTTGCAGTTTTCCTACAGCCAATTTCTCTGTTTCTGAAAGTGGAATATCTGTTAGTTTCTTGTTCTAAATTATGAATGGTTTGTAGCTCTTAACACCCAAATATCCGTACATGCTCATGCTAAACCTATGGCTTCCAGATTCCATTCATAATAGAAATGCAGGTGAGCGGTTTCTATCCTCACATTCCCCTCTTTATGGTTTAGTGGTCTTAGTTTTCTATCATTTGGTTATGATCTCCAAGTGACTACAAAACTAGATGTGTATCTAAAGGTATCTGGTTGGAAAACCATAGTATTAATGTTATTTTTGCTGGTAGTCACCTTCAAAATGTATTTCAAACCAAAAATATCCTATTCCTTTTTGGGACCCATAACCACTTTGCAAAAACCAATCTCAGCTCACCCAGCACATTGTCAACGTATGATTGTAATGTAGAGTAATGTTGACTATAATCTCTGAGAAGCTTAAAATCTCTCCAAGACGCTAAATGTACTGATAAACAATAACAAACTAAATTTACAACAAGGTCTTTGAGCCAATAATCGCCAAGGGTTATTATCTTATATGACACTAATTGTCATCTCATCTGGACTAGCAGTTGCATCGTATAATTCGATGTTAATTTATTTTAAATCAAACAATTATGAATTACTTATCAGTGAAGAGCTGTATTTCAAACACAACCAACGTTATTAAGTAAAGTGCATTATCCGTGGTTGGTTGAACATCGTTTTATATTTCTAGATGATCAATAACCTGCTGACGTTGAATAAACTGTTCAATAAAATACAAATTTATAGTGTTTAGTACTGACCAATCTCGTGTTTTTCTCAACTTTCTACCCCAGTATATAATTGTATCTGAAAGATTTGAATCATCTGTGCTTTTACTCTGTAAGACAGGTGCAAACCATGATCATCCGAAGGCATAAAAATTTGACAAGCCGTAGATCTTAGTGAGACATTCTTCGCTTTTTCTGTTTAAGCAGTTTTTCGCGTCATCATATTTCTATTAAATGAACTGTACTGTAGAATGTACGTGCTCTTTTCCTTATTGTTGTTCATTGTTACGTTGTGTTCTTACTAAGGTACTCATTATTATCTTAATACTGAATATTATTTTTTCATCAGGTATGAGTATTATCACCCTAGAACTATATGGCCGTGAACATGTTCTTATACAGCGATTCCGAAAACCAGTAAGTTTGAAGTATTGCTGTGAAAATTCCAGTCTTATTCGTTAACGATTGTTTAAAACAATTTAAGTTAACAGCATTCCACATAATTTGTGCAAATAGTTAAAAATACTATGTATTTACGCATAACTCTTTAAGTAGATGCTTCAAAAATCAGCCACAGTGATAAACGTATCAGCTACCGTTAATAGGTTGAAATTTGAAACTATAGGTCTTTCATTTTACTGGCAACAGTATGTTTCTCCCAAGATTATAGCCAAACGAGACTATTCTCGAAAAATCAATACTATGCTATTGGTCCTCCAAAGATTCAGTGCATTTGATCTCCAACCATCGTTTTGTAACAAAGCATAAAATATCAGGAGATTGCACTATTATCTTTCGAAAAACTAAACAAATTAGCAGTTAAGTAAAAATCAATTTATAGATTTTGTTACTGAATCCATATTCACAAAATGGGACAAAGTAACAAACATGGTGTAAATTTTACTTACAGTTATGCAATAAAACATTGTTATATACTATTTTAATCTATTGATTGGAGCTCAAAGCATATGATCTTTCTAACTTGACCAACGACGTTTTTTATATTTGTAGTATTAAAAACTCAATCGACGTAAAACTTACTACTTATAACGCTAGTCAATTCAAATTCGATATCTTATTTAGTGTAATACGATAATTTTGTATCGTTGGCTGTAGAGCCATATCACAAAGTTATCTAAAGCGAGTGTTCGCTCCGACATTCTTCGTACTGTGTTCAAATCTGTTTTCTCAATTCACTTCCAACCACTTAACTTGATTTTCCTACTTTTAAAACAAGAAACTTCCTAGTACCCTTATCCGATTTTCATCTAAAGGAAATGGTGCTAATACCACTGCTGTTATGGTAATATTCATAAATTTTTAATTGCATCAAATAACTATAAAGTGAAATGTATTTCCAGAAGATGAGTTAAAATGCACACGAACATTCTATTCCCTGAACTCTACCTGTTTTATGAGCACATGCTCACGAGATTGATATGTACGTCTGCTGCTAAACATGAAGGTTCTAAGCTCGATCCCTAGAGGAGTTTTACGTGTTCTCTCTTGATGGTATCAAACTAGGATATAGCAGCGACCCAGAGATTCTTATTTCTTACCGGTCTACTAGCTGAAGCGCTAACCCACACTAATCTCCAAAACTATCTTTCTGTTCTTGGTAGATGGTTCACCACATTCCTTTTATTGTTTTACTGTTTTGTAGAAATGTTGCTTTTTTTTGTAGTTTTCAATGCCTTATCGATCTAGTGAAGTTCGAATGATAAGTAATATACTGTTTGCCCCCCTGTATATAATCGGTAGGATGAAAGAAGAACTGCTGCTTTCAATTGAGATGTCATCTAGTTTCCAGTTCGATGCGGTCAGTTTATTACTGTATACCTAATTTTTTAAATTGATGCTAACGGTTTAAAATTTCAAAGCCATGATTTTTTCTGCCAATGTAGTTTACCAAGAAGTTCCCGCCTCAAAATAAACCTGGGAAATAAGTGATGCGCACTCAAACCATTCACCGTGCTACTGTATAGGTCCCACTGTATTACAAAAACTTGAAATTACCAGTGTTACAATAATTTATTAGTCTTTTTGGAAAACTAGTCGCTTGCATACAATGGAATTAAAAAAGTAGCTTTTAGGAATCACTTCGACAAACAATAATAGGTTTGCATTGAATAGAATCCGTTAGTATTGAGATCTAAGCATTAAGGAGATACTCGGATCCAACTCCAAGAAAGATCACGTAAAATGTTTCACTACAATTTCATCACTGTTAGTAAAAGAAGTTTTATTTTTTATTTTCGGCTAATCATTGGATATGAATATATCAAAGAGCAATTTTTCCACGATTACCTGTTTTTAAGGATAGGGCTGAAAATCAAAAAGCCATACATAGGATCTTCTACTTGTCTCTGCAACGACATTAAGCTTCGGTTTTTCATGACTAAAAATATCAGATTGTGAATATATCACTGCAAATCCTGTTTAAAATGATTACAACTTGATAACTGCAAGATTAGCAACAGAAATTTAAACTGTCAGTTTGCAGCAGAACAACTTGACAGTCACTTCATTTACTGGGCCATCACTAGTTCTAACTTATAAATTTAGACATTTTGCTTCAAAGCTACTAATATTGCGTTATGTGGATCGCAAATGAATTCTAAACACGTTTAGATTTTTTGGATAAAACATAAAAAAACAATCGACGCAAAATAATAGAAATTTGCTTTTATTTGGTGAGTTCTTATCAGTAGCTTACAACCTTACACGTTTAGAATGATAACAGTAAATACTAGTTAGAAAATTTAATTGACAGTGGATATCAGCATAAGTTCACGAATCAAGCTAGTGAAAGATAATTTTCCAATGAATAAAAGAGCAATTAACTAAGCAAAGATTGAATAACTAAAAACAGATGAACCTCACGTCATGTTTTCGCGATAAATATATTTGTAGCTTCGCACTTGGAGCTAGTTGACTTCCGAGATCTAAAGAGTGGAATCCGAAATAAAACAGTTTCTGTAAGACAGGGGTTATACTAACCGCTTTTTAGCCGTACTAGTAGGCTCTCTTCTCAGTCAGCTACAACGTAGGACCAGGCATATATATGCATCGGTCCAAGTTGCCATACCTCATTAACACAACATGATGGACACCGGATTCATAAAAGTAATTAATTCAGAGGTGGTAATATATAAAAGAAAGATTGCAATAAGGATATAGTACAGAAAGAAGGAATTAGTTCGTAGAAAGAAATATATGAAGCGATTTTAATCTCTTAGTTTAAGGGAATACAGAGAGTGTATATACCGACACCATTGTAATCGATTCGGAGCCATGTCACCAAGAGTCTCCAACCATTGGTTAGAGACTCTTCTTCTAAAGAAAGATCGTAATCGTTAAAAATATTTACGTATAAATTCACACAGAAATTCACCAATAAGCATTCTAGGACGAACGCATCAAGTGGAATACAGTTGTAAATTAAATTTGCTGCCCTCACCTTGTCTTCAAAAAGAATGAGACTGTTGGACCAACTAGTCTCAGAATAAATACCACATTTAAGACTGTCTATGCAACGGCTAAAGAACAAGTATTAAAAAAATAAAGAGAAGGGTCCATAGTTGCGTTTACGATCACCTTCCAGAAAACTTAAACCTAAACGACTCCACACCCGTAAACAGTGCAATCAGTCAACGTCTGGTCGATGATGGGCATATTGATGACCTTCACCAACTCTTCTCAATAATTTGCAGGGAAAAGAGAGTAACTGCTTAACGGATCACTGAAGCAGTAGCTATTAGAAACTGAAACAAAATCTGTTGAAATCGCAACGGTTGTCGACTTGCCATGGCAAACTTATAATTTGCATCAGTTTGTTATAAATTATTCCCTGTATTTTTTAATGCAACCTACGCTTAGCTGATTGTCATTTCATCAAGTTAGAAATAATCTTTTCGTTACATTATTTTATGTTAACATGAGCACAGATATCTGTTTAGTCGTAACTGATTAACGTTTTAGACTCAACCAGTTTTGGAAGGTCGTATCATTATGGAGTCCAAACGCTACTTATGGTCAGCTTTGGAGCTTAAAATACAGACGACGCTTAGCGGATTTCAAAACGTTCTATACTACTATCCACAGGTTTCTTTCATAATTTGCATATCTGTCGTTTCATTCCTTATGAACATGATCTACATATCATCCATTCTTTTATACATTTTATGGCGATTTCTCAAGAAATCCAGAAATCCCGAACTTTCAAAGGTTAAAGATGAACCGAAACCTGAAAACTACCCACTATGCGGTGAGATTGACTCTGAAGATAATTCATTTTCAGATTAAATCTACGTAGAAATTTGTATCACCGTTGACATTATTCATCACTTTCAGTTTCATTACAGGTCTACTGCTGTAATAACTCAAATGTTTCCTCTTAATTTTTTCATCATAGCTTATTTTTTTATGAAACTAACTAATTCTAGTCTTTGAATTACACTCTTTTTTACAACTAATGGGGTTTGTGAACGCCATTTGTACTCTTCAGGTGTTGACACGGGTAGAAATCCAGTTTTATTTGGCACATAACTAAAATATTCATTTTACTCCTTCAGAATGAGGTTTTATAAACATTTTAGGGATTTACAAAATCAGTGAACTAACAAATGAAAATTTGGCAGCTAACGCGCAATGACAGCTAGAAGTAACAGGCGTCTGTCGGACTTCACTTTGGCCATGAGATTTCTATGGATAATCTTTCGATGTTACACTGCGAACTTTGAATTCATAACATCCTAGGCCAGTCACTAACTATCGATATTGGAGAGAATATTTTCAAGCCACTATGGTTAGAAACATCAGAAATCTAAAGCCACAAATACTTGGGAGTGATGGATATTATGGTTTGCTTTTGATTACGATAAAATGAAACAACTTAAAGATTATCAGTGGCGCCGCTATGAGCAGTGTTTTAGTTGACGCAATATAGTGAGAAACTATATGTATTTACAGGCTTCAGTCCTGTGATTAATTAGTTATAGGTATCAATTCTAATAGTAAAGGTCCCCTTTCAGAGTTTAGTCCCCTATTTATCGCAATACACTTGGCATTTATGACTGCCATATTTGATCACCAATATTACAAATATGACTTCCTTAAGCGAATGTGGTAAGCAGAACTTTGTCCAGTTATGACATTATAGGTGCAGTTCCATAGGGCTAAATAATGAGCAGTTGTAGTGTTTGGTGACATGAGTTGATTCACCTCGAGGTTTCGATTTGAAGTAGCAAGTGCAACAACTTTTTGATAATGACTACCTGGAGCATAAGTCTTCAATCGTTAAATAGGTTAACGTTCAAACACTTATTTGCTTGAGATGCATGCTTATTAGTTTATACTGAGATCCGACGAACAGACCCTCACTTTTGTTTAACTAGTCACGGATTGCTGGGTTGTTTCACAAACTCAATGTACACTATCTAAAGTTGCCTCGATGCACAACAGTTAGAAAATGCCCATAGAATATTCAAAAATGAAGAATATTTGAGTTATGAAAACAACTGATGTAAAAACTAAGAACTTGGGTAGAGGTAAAATAGATGAAGAGCAACAAATTATTTACAGAAAGAGTGGATTTATTCACACCATATTGACTAACTCTGAGATATCTCCATTTTTGGTGTATGGATATAGCAGTTGCAGAATGTTACACATAGTTTGTTAGTTACTGGAGTTCTTACGAACTTTGTGAGTACTAATCAACTTATAGGACTGGTGTGTCGCCTTGATCATTCAGCATGTCCTTCTCAACCTCAAGTTACAAATCAACCTAAGCAAACGCTACAAACCACTTCAGTAACGCAGCCCCAATCACTTAAGCACCTAAGGGAGCATATTAGTCCGACCGCCCGTTACTTTACTGCACGGTATAGCGACCACGTACCACTAATCGTTTGACTAAATTAGACTTATCACGATATTAATAGGCGTCAGATGTATTTCAATATTAATTTACAAAATAGACAGTCTTATGATGCTTTGATGGGTATGAGGATGTTTGACATAATAGATGTGATGCGGTAACCTCCCACAAATACAGATCACTCGATAATCCCATCGAGGAACTCGTACTTCTGGGTTGATTGAACAGTACTCTGAACATGTTGCTTGGTGACCGTTTTCTTGCCTTCTTGTGCAGTTACTTTAATAACACTACGACAAAAATCTTGTATAAATTGCTCACATAGAAACCCAATTGAAGCCAGTGCCTCGGAAGTAACTAGAGAAACAGACGGCACCGTTTTTACTATTATTTTAACACGTGAGAGAGGAAGTTTACTTAACTTTTCTGTAGCGGGTATACTATGATTTATTTCCGCGGAAGTGCAACCATCTAAGAAAAGTATGCAAACGAGTTGACGTTACCTTCTCGGAGTGATGACTTGTCTGCTTCGAAATTAGACATAATATTCAGTTATGATATTGAGTAATCGTAATATCCAGTGTTATATCGTTGCGACTAGCCAACTGGTACTTTGAAGTAATATTTGGGAGAGAGGCCAATGGTTATTTAAATAAAGTTCACTTAACCAGTAAAGGAATCTGAAAGGGATTATAATTCAATGACATGTAGGACCATCTTTGCGAACAGTAAACCATTGAATTACCGCTACATTTAACAAATTTGAAACAGTGATTTGACTTAAGTGTTTGTAATTAGTTAAATGAACATTTTCTAGTCCCAATATGACTAGCTACCTAAAAAATTATATCCTGTTCCCTAGAAGTGTGAAGGCAATTTCATTGTAGTTGTAGTGACAATTGCGACATTATTCGTTCGGGCATGATTTCGGTATTTATTGTTTAGTATGGCCATATATAACTCTTCGCAAAATTATTATCTCACGAACATAGCATATTTGAAGCTCTAGAAATTTTATGTAGCTAAATGTGTGTCAAAGATGCCTAGGCTGCAGCGATGCCCTATCCAGGAATGAAATAAAACCTGTTATTGGGCAACTTATCTATCATACATAATGAAGTTGGCCGCTTTCTGAAATCACGACGCCAGTGCTTCTTGAATCCTTCGGAACTGCCGTCTAAGGACTTGGTGTCCTGGTCGGTTCATTGGTTAATTTGCTTCCCTACGTCTGTTGATCCTCGTGGAAGAGAATAGGCCGCTCACCAGCACTTTTCATCCAACCCTGTCCTATGCAACCCTTTCCCGTTCTTTCCAGCTGTTGTTTATCTTCTTCATGCCTGCTTCCAATTATCGTCGCAGTGTGTTCTTTGGTCTTCCTCTTTTCTACTTCCCTTGAGGTTTCCAAGTTTGTCCTCTCCCACAGAAGGCTGTTGTTGATGGTATCCGGCCAATGAATGTTGAGTATCTTGCGTAGACAACTATTCACAAAACATTTTAGGCTGTTGATGATGGTTGTAGTAGTTCCCACGTTTCAGTTCCGTACAGCAGAACTGTCTTAACGTTCGTATTGGAGATTCAGACTTTGATATTGGTTGACAGTTGTTTAGAGCTCCATATGCTCTTTAATTGTAGGAATGATGCCCTTGCTTTGTCAATCCCCGTCTTTACGCCTGTACCAGGTCTTTCTTGTTTATTGATGACGCTTCTCAGGTACATGAAGGACTCCATATCTTCAAGAGTTTCTCTTTCAAGTGTGACTGGGTTGGCATTCTCAGTGCTGTATTTGAGGATCTTGCTTTTTCCTTTGTTTGTATTGAGGCCTACTGATGCAGAGATTGCTGCTTCATGAGTTGTCTTCATTTGTATTTGTTCGTGTGTATGGGACAGGAGGGCTAAGTCATCTGAGAAGTCTAAATGTTCTAATCGATCTCGAGCTGTCTATCGTATTACATGTCTCAATGCTTAGGAATTGAGCAAAATAAATATTATGATTGGCGGTTTTACAACCGGATACCGCTGAAACTTCCATCATTGTAATATTCGCTCCATGTTTTCACCTTTCTCAGGAAGAACTGCAACGTGGTCATGGTCTGTCGTCCTTTCTTCAATGGATAACTAGACTGGTTGAGCATAATTGGAGTCGCGAGCTGAACTACCTGCCTATAGTTTCCACTACAAGGTCGGGACATGTGTTGTTGCTGACTATCGGTTTCCTTAATAAATGTAGGTGTATCGCGTGAGTTTAAATGCTCTTCGGCTGATCTTTTCTTTATTTCTTCTCTTTCAAAGACCTCTTCACTCAAACTCATCAAGATATTCCCCTAGTACACAAAGTATTTTCTTCCTGAATGTGAATCGAAACAATGGAACTTCACAAGATATGAACAAAATGGGTTTCAATCCTGACCAAGTTACATTTTAACAAACAATAGGCTCTATGTGGAAAACATCCGCATTTATACTCCAATATGTGGTGGATATCGTGCTGTATTCAGATTTGAGGTGGTTCATAGATAATGATTAACATAAATGAAGATACTCCATCGCGATGCAACAGGTGACAAACTTTCCGGCCATGAGATAATGCTTTTAACATGCCCCATTGTTACAAGAGTTAGTAAACCTGTCCACAAACCAACGTTTCGTAACAGTCACGAACATAACTTCGAGTGTCATTGCGGATTAAAAGAAGGACTCTTCCTGATTCTCTTAAAAATATTAGAAAGTTTGGTCAATGATCAAACCAAGGAGTTTGTGAACTCTGTCACCAGACCCAGCATGGCATTAAGAAGGGTAGATGATATGCAGCGAATGCCTTGTAGCGGTAAATAAATCCCCAAAATAAATAGCACTAAGTTTTCGACATTGGATGCTGACCATATGTTTTAGTGGACTCATCTAGCTGAAGGCGCTCGGTCAGGCATCTGCACCAGATCACGTGTGGTATCGCCGTGCTCAACATCAACCGCAATCGCTAGCCAGATTAGATCAGAGAATTCCGATATATTGGTCATCGCCAAATATACTCTTCCGATCTCCTCGACTCTGTCTTTTGATTTCGCCAGGGCGGGAACGAAATATATTAGAAGGTGTTACTGGTAGAAGCGTTTTCAAACACTGAATACCTGTGACATCGTCATTGGTGAGCTCGACGTGATCTGGTACACGTAATTGCAACTGTGAGTCTGTTCCTTTTTGGGATTTTTATATATCATTGCCTTATTTTTTAATTTTTTTAGACATTGTGATTTTTTTCGCGTTTTTTCTTGGATATATATATATTTTCCCCTCGTTCATTATCACACTTCATCATGACTGAACAGACACCTAAAGTGCCCAAGCTTAAGACTTTGTCCCCACCTTCGTTTCAACTGATGCCTTTCTGGCCCGACAACATCGAAGCCTGGTTTTGCTACGCAGAAGCCGACTTCTCCGAGCACGGCGTGATCGACACACGTGCACAATTCCTCGCAGTAGTCAAGGCACTACCGCGCGAATTCAACAGGTACGTAACACCTAGTATGTTTACTAGTGATGTTTCCGATCCTTACGAAATCTTAAAACGCTCGATTCTCAAACGAGGAGACCTAACCGATCGACAAAGGTTAGATCAACTCTTCAACAATATCGACCTGCAACATGGTTCTGCGACAGACATGTTGCAACGGATGAGAAAGGTAATAGG